CGGCAATAAGTATCCTGAATAGTAAAAATTTTATTTTCTGATAAAACATGGCAATTATACATTTCAAACACTCTCGGAATACGACCGAAAAATTTAATAATTATTTTATAAAAAAAATAAAATGCTGCAATCTAAAATATATTATGGGTTAATTAAAATAATATAAAATTTAAAAAATAAAAATAAAAAACATCTAACTTTAAATTCCAAATTAATGATTTATTTATGATTATATGGATAAAATGGCACAAAATATTATATATATATATATATATATATATATATATATATATATATAAATATTTATTACATTATATTTTTTGACGTATCCATACCGTACCTATATTATATTTTTTTTAGATTTTTTGTACCGCCATGTTCATATCGTGTCGTATTCGTATTCCGTATTCATATTTGTGCTTTATAGGTTGATACTATGGTAGTGTTAGACACATGTAGGACACTTCTTGAACACGTGTCTTACATGGCTAAAAATGTAAGAGAATATGAATTTGAAAGGGTCTCAACATCCGAAACAAAACATTTTGTTTACCCTAGCACTCAAAACATAACATTGGAATCGAATTTGCAAACACACAAATAGTGGTAGCTGGTTATATAAAATAAAAATAAAAAAACCTCAAACCATCCCTAAACTGAAGAAATGCATGCAATAGTCCAATAGCTAAACATTTATTAAATAAAAAAACCTCAAACCATCCCTAAACTGAAGAAATGCATGCAATACTCCAATAGCTAAACATTTATTAACTAATGTTGGATTCGGGCCGGGTGTTATGGGTCATGGGCTTGTTGCACTTCAGCATTGTATTTCTTTCATTTGGGCTCCATACCTTATTGGGCCTGAATTTGTACCTTACTACTTATTTATATAATTTGATATTTTAATTTTCAAAAAAAAAAAAAAAAAAAGAAAAAAGAAAAAAGAAGAAGCTTTAAGAGGTGTGATATGACTTTAAACAATTTAGGTGTTTTCTGGACTTGAAACTTATATTTGAACCCGCCAAACCCGTTACCTAAGCTTCTCAATCTTAATTCCCGAGCCCACATCGATCGTACGGTATCCAGGATTCGTGAGTTGTGGGCTAGAACTTCTAATTATTGCCATGCTGAAGTGCTTCAATTAGAAAATTATTTAACGTCCTGTTGGTTGGACGAAGAATTGTTTTGGAAACAGAAGTTTCGTCTCCTTTGGTTGCAAGAGGGGGATAGGAATACAAATTTTTTTCATGTTACTGCTAAAAGAAGGCGCAGCCGTAATACCGTTTCAGGGATTTTTGAAGCTGCAAATCAGTGGGTGGTTGATGAGTCTGCAGTGCAAATCGGTCTTTCTGAGTTATTTTTAGAATTTGTTTCAAACGTCCCATCCTTCGAATGTTGCTCAGTTTTTGCGGTTTGTTCCTGTTCGGATTACTACTGAGATGAATGCTAATCTTTTGTTGGCCCCGTCGGAGTTGGAAGTGAAGTAGGCGGTTTTTTCTATGCAACCGATGAAAGCTCCTGGGCTGGATGGGATGACACCGCTGTTTTATCAGAAATATTGGGAGGTAATCAAACGGGATGTTGTTGGGGGCTGTCTCCAGTTTTTTTTTGCTACGGGGAATTTGTTATCTAGTTTTAATCACACCAATATTGTTTTAGTTCCTAAGACTTCTTCACTGACGCAGGTTTGTCATTACCGTCCAATTTCTTTGTGTAATGTGTCTTATCGTATTATTGCGAAAATTATGACTAACCGCCTGAAAGGGATCATTCACTCCATTATCAGTGACTCTCAAAGTGCATTTGTTGCAGGTCGCCATATCACTGATAATATTTTAGTTACTCACGAAATTTTACACTATTTAAAAAATAAGCGCAAGGGGAGTAAGGCGTGGTTGGTTTTGAAACTTGATATGAGTAAAGCTTATGATCGGTTTGAGTGGGATTTTTTTATTTCGTATGCTGGCTCGGCTGGGTTTGAACACCCACTGGATTCAAATGATCACAGCATGTCTTTCCATGATTTCTTACTCTATAAAAATCAATGGGAGTTCTATGGGTTTTTTCAAACCGTCTAGGGGTTTGCGTCAAGGCGATCATCTCTCCCCATATTTATTTATTATTTGTGCTGAAGCTCTCTCACTTGCTATTATGCGTGCTTAGCAAGATCGATTTTTATCTGGTATTCGTATTTGTAGAGGAACGCCGTCTATTTCTCATCTTTTTTTTGCTGATGATTCTATTGTGTTTTGTGCCGTAGATGCAGAGGAAGTGGTTGTTCTTAAACGCATTTTGGTAGAGTATGAACAGGCTTCTGGGCAACAAGTGAATTTTAGTAAATCATCTGTTTTTTTTCTCTCGTAATACTTCGGGATCTATGCGCCGCTCTTTGAGTCACTATCTGGGATTACAGCTGCAGGGTTTTCATAGCTGGTATCTTGGGGTGCCAACTATTTTGGGTCGGTCTAAAAGTGACGTTTTCCAGTTTCTTCTAAATAAAATACAGGACAAGTTAGCTTTTTGGAAGGCGAAATCTCTGTCCCCGGGTGGCGAGGAGGTGTCGATTAAAGAGGTGTTGAGTGCCTTGCCTACGTATGTTATGTCATCTTTTAAGCTTCCTACTACACTGTGTCATGATTTGATGAAGCATATTCGTTCTTTTTGGTGGTGTAATAAGGATAAACCTAAGGCAATTCATTGGATCCACTGGGATCTTCTCTGCCGGAGTAAGAATTCGGGTGGGCTTGGCTTTCGGGATCTGGAGGCTTTTAATTTAGCTCTTTTATTTTCAGGTGCAGAAGCAAGGGTTGGTTTATCAACTTTATAAGGCCAAATATTTTCCTTCTTCTTCGTTTTTGGATGCTTCTTTGGGATCCAATCCTTCCTGGGGATGGTGGAGTATATGGTCTACTCAGGCTTTGTTATGTCAGGGAGTCCGCTCGTTGATTGGCAATGGCATATCTACGCATGTTTGGAAAGATCATTGGGTCCTTACGCTTCTGGATAAACTGCCACTACCCCCGGCTCTTCCTCATTTTTCTTCTGTATCGGAGTTGATTAATACTACAACGTATTCGTGGAAGGTGGATGTTTTGTCTCAGTTTTTTCCTCCTCTTATAATGCATGAAATTCTCAAAATTCATATCAGTACGTGGGATAAACAGGATGAGGTCATTTGGGCTCCAGAGCGGTCGGGTAAATTTTCAGTGCGGTCTGCTTATAAATTGGCCATTTCCATGTCTAATTTTGCAGGTCATTGTCTTCGTACTTGTCCTTGGTCTTCGATTTGGCATTGTCGTACTCTATCTAAGGTGCAACACTTTCTTTGGAGATGTTGTATGCATGCTTTGCCGGTTCGGGTAGCTTTGTTAGACCGAGGGTGTGTGGTGTCACCTCTATGCCCTCGTTGTGGTTTACAGGAGGAATTTGTTGTGCATCTTATTTTTTCTTGCCCTCACTCTATTTAAGTGTGGAAGTTATCCCCACTGCGTCTTGATTTTTCAGCTTCTTCTTTTCCTTCTTTCTGGGTTGGCTAGAAGTTCTTGTTACAGAAGGCTATTATCTCTTCGGATTTTGCGGATGTGCTTAGTTTGATTTCTTTTTGTGCTTAGGGTATTTGGAAAGCCAGGAATCGGTTGGTTTTTTAGGGGTTTTTATGGAGGCCTGAGGTTGTGGTGCAGAAGGTTGTTGCCAATTTTTGGGAGTTCCATGATGCTAGGTCCCTCTGTTCTTCTTTGCAGCCTAATCCGGCTATCAGTTTGGTGGATGTGTGGACTCCTCCTCCTTCTGGAATCGTTAAGTGCAATTTTGATGTTTCTTTTTGTAGGCAATCTATGCAGGGGGTGGTGGAGCCGTTTTCCGTGATTGTAGAGGGGATGTGCTTCAAGCAATTATTTTTCGTCCCTTTTCGGCTTCTTCAGCTTTGGAGGCAGAGGCGTTAGTGTGTAAGCGTGTTGTTCTTTCCGCTATACATTTGGGATTTTCTTACTTATGGTTTGAGTTGGATATTTTGGTGGTTGTGAATGGGGTGGGGCGTAAGGAAACTTGTCCTTTGAATATTGCTTCTATCTGTTCTGACATTTCTCGGGACTTGCAGCTTTTTTCATCTGCTACTTTGACTCATGTTCGTCGCTAAGGTAATCGGGTGGCTCATGCCTTGGCAACTCTATCGAGGCCCGGCTTGGGTCGGATCAGTTTTTGTCTCTTTACCTCCTTCTGTCATGCCATTGGCTGTGGCTGATGTTGTTTCTTATTAGGGTTATTTTTGTTTTGGTTTTTGTGTGTTTGTCTTTATCAGGGAAAAAAACAAAAAAAACACTACCTAACGCGGCTTTGAAGATTGAAGAACCCCCTTCGTAACGAGTATTGTGTTTGTATTATAATGTAACCATGTTGAAACCGTAATCCACCAACTCAGTTCTCAGTTTCACGCGTCTTCGACTTTTGATTCGTATTATATAGTATTATAATGTAACCATGTTGACACTGTAATCCACCAACCCAGTTACCCAGTTCTCAGTTTCACGCGTTTTCGACTTTTGATTCCTTTCGAGGGTTTTTAGTTTCAGGGCGCAGAAATCTTTGAAACGAGTTTAATTCCTCAACCTTTCACAAAAGAAACTGTTCTATCCTGCTTTTGCTGCTTTTGTTTTCTCTTAATCGCATTGGTAATCGGAAATTAAGGATGGTTGTTGTCGGGGAGATCTTTCTCGCAGCTTTTCTTCAGTTGCTGTTTGAGAAGTTGGCATCTGGTGTATTGGTAAAACTTGCTCATCAACAGTTGATACCGAGTTGAAGAAGTTGAGCAAGAAGCTGCTGATAATTCAGGCCGTCATCGGCGACGCAGAGGAGAAGCAAATCACAGACAGAGCTGTGAAGATGTGGCTGGAGGATCTCAACGACCTAGCTTACGATTTGGACGATTTGCTAGACGAGTTCTCTACCGAAGCTTTGCGACGCAAATTACCTCCTAGCAGCACCACCAGCAAGGTACGGAAACTCATTCCTACTTGTTCTACTAGATTCAATGTTCCTTGTGCTGTTGTTAAGTCTGATTTTAATATGAGGTCGAAGATAGAGGAGATGAATGCTAGGTTAGAAGAGATTGCAATGCAAAGAAATGACATGGGTTTGAAAGAAATTGGGGGAGGGATGAGGTATGAGAGAGTGAGAGAGAGATTGCCTTCCACTTCTCTGGTGGACAAATCTTGTGTTTACGGCAGAGAAAAAGATAAAGAGGCAATACTTGAGTTGTTGTTATTAAGGGGTGAAAGTGAAACTAGTGATGATGAGACCATCTCGGTCATTCCCATTGTGGGTATGGGAGGTGTTGGTAAAACTACTCTTGCTCAATTGGTCTATGATGACGACAATGTGAAGGATCATTTTGATGTAAAGGCATGGGTTTGCATTTCTGATGATTTTGATGTTTTCGAGGTGACCAAGACGATTCTTCAAAAGGTCACATTTGAAATCTACAACTTCAAGGATTTAGATTCACTTCAAGTAAAACTAAAGGAAACCCTGTCAGGGAAAAGGTTTCTTTTTGTTTTGGATGATGTTTGGAATGAGAATGCTGAACGGTGGGACCTTCTACGTCGGCCTTTTTTGGTTGGGGCACCCGGAAGCAAAATAATTTTTACCACTCGCAATGAAAGTGTCGCATCAGTGATGAGTTCCGTTCCAGCTATTCCAACTTACCGGCTAAAGAAGTTATCAGATGCTGATTCTCAATCTTTATTTGCTCAGTACGCACTTGGAAGAACAAATTTTGATGCACATCCAAATCTGAAAGTAATTGGTGAGAAAATAGTGAAAAAATGTGAAGGCTTGCCTTTGGCTGCAAAGACGCTTGGAGGTCTCTTACGCACTGAATTGGACGAGAAAAGGTGGGAGGATATATTGCATAGCGAGATATGGGAGCTACCACAAGAAAAAAGTAATATTCTTCCAGCTCTTAGACTGAGCTACTTTCATCTCCCTGCCCATTTGAAGCAGTGTTTTGCTTACTGCTCGATATTTCCGAAAGACTATGAATTTGACAAGGACGAGCTGATTTTGTTATGGATGGCAGAAGGTCTTTTGCAGCTAAAAAAAGGAAAGAAGTGGATGGAAGATTTTGGCGAAGAATGTTTTGATGATCTACTGTCAAGGTCATTCTTCCAGCAGTCAAGTGGTAATGAGGCAGAATTTGTGATGCATGACCTTGTGAATGATTTGGCTCAATTTGTTGCTGGAGAAATATGTTTCAGGGCAATGGATAATTTTGATGGTAATGAGCAATCTACAATTTCTAAACGGACTCGCCACTTATCTTACACTCGTCAAAAGTATGAAGTCTTCCAGAAGTTCAAGAATCTTTATGGAGTTCAATGTTTGCGTACTTTCTTACCATTACCAGTTTACAAAGAGTCTAGGTGGGCAGGAAACTACTACTTAAGTAACAGGGTCTTGTTTGATTTATTGCCTAAATTACATGGCTTACGGGTATTGTCTTTGTCTGGTTATGGTATAACCGAGCTGCCAAATTCAATTGGCAACTTGATACATCTACGGTACCTCAATTTATCCCATACTTCAATCCAATGGTTACCTAAATCAGTGGGTGCTCTGTACAATTTGCAAACTCTGTCACTGCGTGACTGCAAAGCTCTATGTATGTTGCCTGCAACCATTGTTAATTTAATTAACTTGCATCATCTTGACAATGCTAACACTAATATGTTAGAAGAAATGCCCTTGGGGATTGGTAGATTGACAAATTTGCAAACATTGTCAAAGATTCTTGTGGGAAAAAGCAACGGGTCAAGACTAATGGAGTTAAAGGACCTATTACATCTACGCGGGATGGTTTCTATTGGGAAGTTACAAAATGTAATGAATAGTCGAGAAGCAGAGGAGGCCAATTTAATGGGTAAGCAGTACCTTGATGAATTAGAGTTGGCATGGTGTGAAGAAACTGATGATTCTCGAAATGAGAAGCTTGCAATGGATGTACTTGACATACTAAAACCACACATAAACCTAAAAGAGCTCAAAATTCAGTTCTACCGGGGTATAAGTTTTCCAAGTCTAGTTGGTTGTACAAAATCCAGATGTTTACCAGCACTTGAGCAATTGCCAATGCTCAAGAACCTATACATTCAAGGCATGCATGAAGTTAAGAGTGTGGGAGTCAAGTTCTATACGGATGGTTGTTCAATGAAATTTCCTTTTCCATCACTGGAGAGTCTAACGTTTGAGGATATGCCTGAATGGGAGGAATGGTGTTTCTTTAATAATGGTGTCGAAGAAGCTACAGGACAATTCCCTTGCCTCCGAGTGCTTACGGTATGTAAATGTCCCAAGTTGAGTAGGGTTTCAATTTTAAGGCTTCCCTCTCTTTGCGAATTGCACCTGCAAGAATGTGATGAGGTGGTGTTAAGAAGTGTTACTGATTTGACCTCACTAACCACCCTGAAAGTCAAGAGTGTTACAGGGCTATCCAAACTCCCAGAAGAACTCATGCAGTTTTTGGTCGCACTTGAAAAACTCGAATTTCATAAATGTGAGCAAATGGTTACTTTGTGGCATAATGGATTTACATTGGGCGAAGAAGATACATTGCTGCTGCCATTTTGTAAACTTGAATGTTTGGAAATACGTGAGTGTGCCAATTTGGAGAATCTACCAAATGGGTTGAACAAGTACCTAACGTCTCTTAAGCGGTTGCATGTCAGTGGGTGTCCAAAACTTGTGTGCTTTCCAGAAAAAGGTGTTCCGCCCATGCTTAAAAAGCTTCGGCTGGCAGAGTGCGATGGCTTGAATTCCCTCCCCGAGAGCTTCTCTCATCTTGAATATTTGGGCGTTGAAAATTGTTCGTCTCTGAGGTCGTGGCCAACAGACATGTTTCCCACCAAACTCAAGGAGGTTACAATTTGGAAATGCATGCAATTGGAGTGGGTTTCAGAGACGATGGTACATGAGAACGGTAGTAGTAGTAGTATGTCATCACTTGAAAATCTTTGGATCGGCAATTGGCCATATATTGGAAGGTTAGTTGGGTGCCTGAACCATTTTGCAAATCTCCTTTACCTGTGGATATACAATTGCGATAGTTTGGAGTGCTTCCCAGAAACAGGTTTATCCATTCCCAACCTGACAAGTCTTATAATCGAGAATTGCGTGAATCTGAGGTCCTTGCCGCCATTTCATCGGATTCAAAGCCTTGCAATCCTCCATTTATATCGTTGTCCAAATCTTGAGTTGTTTGGCAATGGGAATTTGCCCCCAAAACTTGTTGACATTTCAGTTGATGCTGATTATGGGATGCCCCTATCAGGGTGGGGCCTGCATAAACTCACCTCTCTTAAAGAATTCAGCATCTTTGGTGGATTTTCAGAGATGGTTTGCTTTCCTGATAATGAAGAAGTAGAAGACAAGTTGTGTGTGTTTCCTGCAAGTCTAACCATCTTAGGGATTTGGGATCTCCCAAATCTCGAATCCATATCATCCAAGGGGCTCCGGAACCTCACCTCTCTTCAACATCTACATTTAAACAAATGCCCTAAGCTAAGGTCATTACCTAAGGGGGGGCTGCCTTCCACGCTTCAACATCTAAACATACAGCGCTGTCCACTTCTAAAACAAGGGTGTAGGAAGGACAGAGGAGATTACTGGCCAATGATTGCTGACATCCCTTGTGTGGAGATTGATGGCTATTACATATATGAAAATATATCTGAGTGATGATTCCCCCTGATATTTCTATCAGGTAAGCCCATTCCCTACACTCGCATTAACTCTTGTTCAATTGTATTTTCCAGCTCTCCATGCATTAAGAAAAAGAACCAATCCTTTTGATTTGATGTGGGTAAAATAACTGCACATCAACGATAAATTTACAAAAAAGCATGGAGAAACACCTTATACGCTTTTCTCTAGTAATTTTCTCCTTTCATCCATGTTGTTTTGTAAAATTTTGATCGTTATATTGAATTTTACTTTGTCATCATGTAAAATTTTATTGCCAAGAAAAGAAATGATGTACATCAAGTTTCATAACACGCTCTCGGAAAAAGGGACGACAATCAAATATTTTAAAATCATTGTTTAACTGATTTTTCTTTGTTGTAATTAATTTTATATTCTGTGGAAATTATATTCTTAGGATCCTTCTTGTTTGATTCTTTGTAGGCATGACTCCATGCGCTAATCATGCGGAGACAGCTTCTCTATAGACAGACTGGTTCTGATGCAGGTCCAGCCAAGTAACTTCACTAAAGCATAAAACAACATTGCGCTAATTATGGATTCTTCTGACTTTCTTTTAAATTTCAAATCATGGAAAGTTTCTTTCACAATATCCAGATTTGTCTGTTAAATTGTAGGGTTTTGTGGTTGTTTCCTGTGAGGTCATTATCAATTTGCAGCTCTTTGTTGAAAATTAAGTTCCATGAACAAATATGTTTTGGATTGGTCTTTTGTCAGGTACATTAGAATTTATTTTTCCCTACCACAATCATATATATTTTGCCAGATGGAAACCCTTTTATGTGCACTTGGGTTTCCTATCACAATCATGAATCATTTATATTTTGCCAGATGAAAATCCTTTTATGTGCACTTGGGTGTTGATATATTATCTCCCTTTAGTTATCTCTGATGTGCCTTATAAATGCTGGTCCTGGTGACAGAGCATTGGTTGCTTTGGCTGCTCATATTGTTTCTGGGCAGCATGGTTTTGCCAAACTTATCATTGAGAATGGCCTAGACTATCTTCCACTGCTTTGGCTGCTCATGTTGTCTCAGTTGTGGACTAAGCTAGGGGTCATTGCTTAGTACAATGCCAGATCTGAGGTAATCAAGTATGGAAAGATGGGTTTAAGTTCACGAGGAGATACTTTATGTAAAATAATGTCAAAAATTAGGTTCAAAACCTTCCCAACACCCTGCTAAATAGGGATCAATGTTGGAAATGGCCACTTTTTAGTTGTATGTAAAGTTTTTCAGTTTGAGTTTGGGTCAGGGGATTTCAATTAAAAAATGTTTGGGGACAGGTGAGTTGGTGATTAGTTGTTGGCCCATTGTGGTTGATAGGCGTTTGAATTAGATGACGGGTTAGTAATACAGGTATGTGGGATTAAATTTTCTTGTTCATCATGAAATCATTTTGGAGTTATAAAGAAATTTTTTCGAAGTGGAGCTATGTTTGAGGTGCTGAGCTTGGATATAAGATGCTGCTGGGAGGTTGCCTAGTGTCTAAAGGTTGAGTTGATCTGTCATTTTTTATACTGACTTAGAGTCTCTGTACTTTTGGAGCTAGATTTAAGTTTCATTCAATTTGGATCTTAAGTCTCAAAACTGGAGGTTTATTTGTTGTGATTATTGTGTTTTCTACGTTTTTAATTTTTGTGTGTTTTTTATTTTGAGGTCTTTTCATCAAGCTTCCTTTTTGTACTGTAAAATGAGAAAGCTTGTGTTTAATACAAAGATATTCGTTTGAGGCTCCAAAGTTTTTGACCCTATAGGGACTTCACTGTTCTTCATTAAGGTGCCCAACTGCCTTTTTGTTCATTTCCGTAATGCAAATGCTTCTTATCAAAATTTAAGTCAAACACCGAACAAGAATAGGAAAAAATTATTTTACATGTAAAAGGTTTTATGAAAAAAATATTTTTCTACAATAATGTTTTACGTAGAAACAAATGAAGCAAAGTATAAATATATGTATATCTGTATATATTACGCAATTGGTCGCTTTTGTAATCATGTTTACACTTTTTTTTTAAGGTAACATATTTTAAACTGACATATTTGTGGCTTTTTTGCCCTTTCTAGGACAATGAACATGATATATAAACATTAACAAAAAATATCATCATCTCTGGTTTTATTCCATATGGATGGGATCGGTCAAATAAATTTAATTTTCAATTCTTTTTGCCATGTATCCACCAATATTCAATTTTTTTAAATGTTTTTTAATTGCTTCATTCAATCTAAGTTTTGATCGGCCTCTTTTACATCTTCAAATATATGATCATACCACCTAAGTTTAATTTATCTAATTTTATTATTCATAAGAGTTATTTCTAATTTTTTCTCCACTCCTTCGTTATACAAACAGCTTTTGAAAAACTGAACTAATCACCCAACTAGAAATTAAATTATACTTTTGACTTTCATCCCAATTCTGTTTTCGTTTATAAATAAGGAAAATGTAATGGAAATAGGAGCTCAGTTGCACTACCATGCCATGGTAGACTTGGTAGTCAAGGCCTAAGTCCCACAATTCGTCTATGTGCTGCTCCTGCGGTTGGAGCCAGGATTCACAAACTGAGAGCAAAAGCCTTACAAAATCATGTATTCATGATTGGTAATCTGCGAACTCAGATATTGAATTTGCTGATTTCATTTATACTTCAATCTCATTAGAATTGTCACGAGGCACACTCAAATTTGACTTTTAATCTTCCATCTAAGAGCAAAAAGTTTAGAGTTATTAGGTTAACACATGAAGAAGAAGAAGAAGAAGAAGAAAGAGATGGATGGGGCAACAAGTAGCAATGGTGGTTGGAAAAGCTTTGAAGGGGGTCTGAATTATTCGCCTTTATCGTTTCCTCTGTCCCTACTTTCTAAGTCGATCTAAAGTTGAAACAACAAAGAAAGCACATCCATTTAACTATTAGTTGCATAGTATTATATTCTCTACCTTTTAAAGTAGAAGGTCAATGGATCAAGTCTACTAAGGAAAAAAAAAGTGTGAGTTTCTTGCCATGGTAAGGAAAAAAAAAAAAAAAAAACACAATTTTTTTCAGAGTAGTTTTTATTTTCTTTTCAAAATTGTATATTTGGCCCCATATTTTCTCCAATTAAATATTTATATAAAACTACAACTATTTCTATTTCTTAAGGTTAAAACATGTTACTTGTTAAAAATCATTCACATGGTATTTGTACTTTTGACTTTTTTGTTTTTGTTTTTCAAGGGTAAAGTGAAAAGAAAAAGAAAAAGAAGAAATTGATACTTGGGTCTTGCCCTATCAAGTGGGTTCCAAATCTCCTGATGATGTGGCCCAGTGAAACATAGACACTTGTATAAAAGTAAAAATAAAAAATAAAAAAATTAAAGATGAGTCATACCCATCTACTAACGGTTAAACCGAAAGATTCTATTTTTTTTTTTTTTTTTTTTTTTCTCTGTAGCTCCCATCTGCGTATTGTCTCTTTCATAGTCACGCTCCATAGCTCTTTCTTCCCTACTTCCATTCAAAAACCTAATTTTCATCCTTCTCTTCCACTACCTGACTTCCATCACCTCCGCTGCTCACCGCCTCTTACATTACTAAATCCTAACCCTGCAATGCTGCATTTAGCAAGGATTGATTCAAATATTATATTTGCACTATTGTAGTTTTTTTTTTTCTTTTTCAAAGAGCCTAAATTGAGTAGGGTTTGCATTTTGGAGTAGCATTTTTTGTCTTCTCATTCTTATTTAGGTTCCTTCCCCTTAAAAATGGTCTTTCCTTCTTGAAAGATGAGATAAAGAAACTGTATTCGTGATTTCAGTTTAGAGTTTCAATATTTTTTTTTTTTCAACCCATATTTTTCCCCACAGGGGCTTGAACACTCAATCTCTCCTTTGGAGAGAGAGTGCTTATACCATCTAGGCTAGAGTGTATCGGTATATGTATCATTTAAGTTTGTTATATTATGTATAGATATCTTTTTTAGGATTACCAGGGGAAGAAATGCATTTGACAGCTCTTTATCAAAATAATTCAACTGTTAATATTTGTATCGATATGTTTTATAGTAAATTTTTATGAAGTCATTGTTTTGCTTTCTTTGATTCTTTTGAATAGTAAAATGAGGATTAAAGTTCTTGGATTGTCTTGCAGCTTTCCTTTCCCTTGTTTCTCCTCTGATTTCTGCAGAAATTTGAGTTCTTTTTTCTTTGCTAAAAAATGAATGATTATTTAGTTTTGGAGTTGAAAATAAAGCTGAAACAATAGACCAACATTTTAAGTATGCATTGTCCTTCTCCTACTAATGAATGTTTCTTAGAAAGAGAAAATCAAGGAAAAAAAGATGAACCAGAACTCGGAATGGAGTTTAGTTCCGATGAGGGGTTCATCACGAGGGTTACCTTTTGTTGTTCAAAAGAAGGTTAAAGAAGAGAGAACAAACGAGCAAAAATCCTTTGTACCATCAACCTATTACAAGAGTTGGTTGTGTGGCTCATATGAAATGCCTACTTCAACACAATGGCAAATTCAAGCATTTCAATTTGTCGTTCAAAAGAAGGTTAAAGAAGAGAGAACAAATGAGCAAAAATCCTTCGTACCATCAACCAATTACAAGAGTTGGTTATGTGACTCATATGACATGCCTACTTCAACACAATGGCAAATTCAAGCATTTGATATTTTGACCCTTGTAATTCATTCTCATTTGTGATATATGAATAAAGTGCAAAGTAACACAAATGCAATGCTTGCTGCTTGATTTTCCTTCTCGACTTCTTCAGTAGCTTTCTTGCTTTACCCATTCTCTCTGGTGCTGTTATACAATATTGACTCTATTTTTGGCTAGTTATTGATGGAGGTAATGCTTTATATTTGAATAACATTGCATCATAATCAAATAAAAGGGAGTTTAGCTTTTCTATTTTCTCTGCTTTCAGAGATGGTCCATCAAGTATGATTTTGTTGTACCTACGCTTTATATTGTAGGGCACATGGTTAGAATGATTAGTATGTTTCCGTAGATGAAGTGACGATTTACTTTGAAACTTTGTTCACATTTTAATCTCAATATATATTTCTTTTCGTTTTATGTACTTGTGATTTTTGCTTAATTAATATCTAATTTATATTTGACAAGAATCTCATATTCGTCATTGAACAGAAATGTCTTTTGTAACTCATTTGGAGTAACCACAAATTGGCGAGCCAATATGTCTTATCACTCAATTACTTCAGGTAACCATGTCTTTCTAAGAACATGATTGATACTGTTAAAGAAAAATGACAGTGATTTATTTATATCGACTTTCTGTAACTATAGTTTTTCAATTATTGTAGGAGTCATTGTCACATTATGCTGAGCTCCCACAAAGTAAACAAGAAGGCAACAAGCTTGAAAATTTCCCTTCTAGTTAATTATATCCGGGGACTATTCGGAGCTTTGGGGATGCTTGCCTATGTTATTTTTTGTGCCTGCACTTGGTTGTTGAATCTATTGTATCCTATGGCAATAGTAGCCTATATTCTAAGGGAAGAAGTTGAGTTTCTGGCCAAATTAGTGAGAACACTGCCTTTTAAACAGCCACTATTGTACTAGTTTCATTTGTTTCAAACAACTTTAATTTCATGATCTTGCTATTTTTTTATTTTTTTTATTTTTATTTATTTATATATATCTTGCATTTGGTGTTTAAATTATAAGATAATTTAGATGACGTCAAATTTTTTCTTTAATATTTCAAATGCGGGGTTGTTTGGGTGGGTGTTTTGTATACAAAACTGAGATAAGCATGAATGTACAAACTGGGACAAGCAGGGACATTTGTTGCCTGCTAGTTTGTATCA